CTCTCTCTCTCTCTCTCTCTCTCTCTCTCTCTCTCTCTCTCTCTCCCCCCCCCCTTCCTCTTTCCAGTTTATTCGCCCTCGTTGTCGCGGCCAAACGGACGAGCTAATTTCGGCCGTTTAAATGAGCGAAATTCTGCGAATCAAACTGGTTAGAACGCTCTTCAGAGGTTTCATTCTCGTAACACGACAATAATTATAGCTTCTTTGTTCTTGTCTCGCCTCTCGATAGAAATGCTTACGTTTCAAATTACGTTTCCCCGCTTAAAATCACGAGAAACGACTCGGATTCAGGAACAGAAAATCTCGAGAGGATTGTCCCGCATTCGGCGAGACATAATCGAGCGGTCGTAAATCCCTTCCCGCGGAATCGGTGGCGGAACGTTGGCGGCGATGACGTTCGAGAACACGCGGAGGATTCTTGCTCGTGGAAGAAAATGCAAAGAGAAAGGAAAAAGTTAAAAAATGGCCGGTCCAATGGGAATCTGGGCCAACTATATTTGTACCGGTCGAATGCACGGGTGAACATTGCACGTCCGAGAATCCTTGGATATTCATCCGAACCAACGAGTGAGAATCCTTCTTAGATCTCGCTCCAACTTTTTCCGCCATTATTTTCCGCACCGCTAAAATGTTACGCTCGCGTCTCTCAATCCTTTTCCGCACTGTTTCTCGGAACGGAACTTGGCTCGAGACCGTAATACATTCGCATCGAGGATCTTTTTTATCGCGTCGAAAATCCATTGAAAACGGTGGCCGAAAGTTTCGTGCCAATTTAAGAACTCGACTTTAAGAACGGGTCCGCGATGGAAATTTCGAAATCAACCGAATCAATGAATCCCATTGAAATTCGCAGGAGCTCTGCCACTATCAAGGTAGCGTTCGCGACCTTCCCGGTTCCTGGGTAGCCCTATCTACTTGCAGAGGGCTGCGCGGCGTTGTCTTCGACGGCGAGAACCTTCATCACATTCAACCGGAGCGAGAGGAATCTTTGGACTCGCGTCATTACGTCTACAAGCACAGCGATCTCGTCGCCAATCACACTTGCGGTAATTATTATTTTTCTTTTTCTTACATCGATTTCAATTTCTCTCGAAATCTTGCACGAACGAATTAAGAAAGAATATCCTATCCTTTCCTAATTGTTATCGTTCCTGAGGAAGTCTCGAAGGAGACCGGTTCGATTTCCAAAGCTGTGCGTTGTCCTCGCGCTCCTTCTACCGGCCTCGAAGACCTGTCTCGCAGGAAAGACTGGTCTTTCCTTAACGAATGTGGGAGCAAGATTCTCTCCCTTAACTTTACCGAGAATCCGATCGACCACGACGATGATGTTGGTTTTTTGTTCGGTGCAGGTTACGAAGGAACGCCTCACCATGCTCTCGACCGTGAACAACAGGGAGGGATCGTCAGCAGAATCGCAAGGGTACGCTCAATATATATATATATAGCTTAAGGATTTAAGTTTGTTTAGAGATTCGAAGTTTTTGTACTTTCAGCACAAGAGAGCGGCAGAGGCGATTCGAGGGCCCTACAACGCGAACAGGCATTCACGATACGTAGAATTGGTGCTCGTGATTGATAAGAAGGAATACATCGCTCTCGACGAGAATTTGGACAAGGTTCATCAACACTGCAAAGATATCGCTAACATTATCAACGCTGTTAGTATGCAGTTTTATCAGACAAATCTTCGTATCGTGCCAGGTTGTCCCAAAAGTTATATATATATATATGATACGATTTTCATCGAGTTCCAGGTTGTATAAAAATTTACAAATACAACATTTGGGATAATCTAATAATCCGTCTGATTGTAAAATGGCGTATGTATCTGGTTTTTTTTCTCTTTTTAGTTGTACATGCCCCTGAATATATTCATCGCGCTGGTCGGGGTGCAAGTTTGGTCGGACGCGGACGAGATAGCCTTGTCCCCGAACGGGGACACCACCCTGTCGAATTTCCTTCGATACAGGAGGGAGAAACTGGTTCAAGACATGCCGAACGATAACGCCCAGCTGTTGACGTGAGTGGAAAGAGGATAACGTACGCGCAGAGAGAAACAAGACACGTGATTTCGTACTTTGCAGGCGAATCACTTTCGAGGGTGGCGTGGTGGGGAAGGCGCTCAAGGGACCGATATGCACGTACGAGTTCTCGGGCGGCGTCTCGATGGATCACTCGAACGTGGTTGGATTAGTGGCCGCGACTGTCGCCCACGAGATGGGCCACAATTTCGGGATGGAACACGACTCGGCCGATTGCGACTGTCCCGAGGAGAAGTGAGTCCAACTCTCGTCCTTTGTCCAATTCCGCAGGCCGATCTCCAACCGTGGCCCTCGGATATTTGTTTGCGTTTGACTTTTTTAAAATATCACGAATAGATTCCTAAACTCTTTCTTGTGTGATCTTATAAGTAATATACTATCGAATGGTTTTTTTTATCTGAAATTAGAGCGATGGAACTACATTTTTTATATAGAAATATTGTTTTGTGAGCATGAATGTAATTAGTTCGAGCGAAGGTGAGTTTGATTGTTCGTAAATAAATTATTTGTATTTGTTACGAGATTGACGTTATTACGAGAGACGTAGTATACGAAGATGGAAAATAAGAATAGTAGAGAATAAATGTGCGCCCTGACAAACCGAGGATGCATCTTGGCAATCGCGCGAACAATATAGATTTTTAATATTCAATTTCCTTGTACACAAAAGATAAAAGTTTCGCGCGTGAAATCATTTCAACTTAGCTAAGAAATCGCGTGGAGTGTAATTCGTTGCAATGAAAGGTAAACGATGGAGAGTGAGGACAAGGTTTGTTGCGAACGCTGATTACAGATGCATCATGGCATCGTCGAGCGGGTCGTCGGGGCCGACGCACTGGTCGACCTGCTCTCTCGAGCACCTGGCGCTCGCGTTCGAGCACGGGATGGATTATTGCCTGAGGAACAAGCCGCAGAAACTGTTCGACAGCCCGATCTGCGGGAACGGGTTCGTGGAGCCCGGGGAGCAGTGCGACTGCGGGCTCAGGGAGAACTGCGACAACCCGTGCTGCAACGTGACCACGTGCATGCTGCACGGGAACGCGAGCTGCGCGACTGGCGAGTGCTGCGACCTGAAAACGTGTCGGCCTAAAACGGCCGGGACCGAGTGCAGGAGCGCCGAGCACGAGTGCGATCTGCCCGAGTACTGCACCGGGCAGAGCGAGTATTGCCCCGTGGACGTGTTCAAGATGGACGGGGAGTCGTGCAGCATGGGGAAGGCGTTTTGCTACCAGGGCTCGTGCAGGACCCACAACGATCAGTGCAAGCTGCTCTGGGGCCCGACAGGCACCTCGTCCGACGCCCAATGCTACGAGATGAACACGAAAGGGACGAAGCACGGGAATTGCGGCTACAACCGGGTCGAGTCGAGCTACGTCAAGTGCACCGGAGAGTAAGTCACAGACGATTCTTTTTTTATTTTCTTAAGGCCGAGGGTTATATGTTGTTTCCACGGTTCTAGAAATCTTTTGTGCGGTATGCTTCACTGCAAGCACTTGAACGAAAGATTGGAGTTCGGTATGGAGTCGGTGGCGATTCTCAGCCACTCGTTCATCAACAACGGGGGGAAGATTATACCGTGCCGGTCCGCCATCGTGGATCTCGGCTTGAATCAGGTCGATCCTGGCCTCGCGCCTGACGGCGCCAAGTGCGCACCCGGGAAGGTAATTAATTAATGAGTTAACACTAAACCTACCGACGTATACCTATTCCTACCATGAGCAAAAAAACATTTGTATCTTAATGTGGAAGGAGATTTTTAGCTAATTGGATTCGCAAAGTAAACAATAGAGAATGTTGTGAATATTGAAAAATGGGTTCTGTATCTACATTGTAGAAAAAGCGAATAAGTCGTATGGCGATACAGCAACTTTGTGTATAACAAGAAATTCTAAATTTCAAAAACGGAAGAAGTTGGATTTTGAGTTGGCATTCTTTTCTTCAGCGTTTGGGAAGTTGAAGAGCATTTGGGTTTTAACTAGTTTATTGGAGATAAATAAGGTTTATATTGACGTTAAGAGAAGAATTAAGAAGAGGAAGAGGTTGAAGTTTAAAGTAACTTTGTTTTTTGAACGTGAAGAATTTAGTATTAAATATAGGTGATTTAACACTAAACTTACCTATTCCTACCATGAGCAAAAAAACATTTGTATCTTAATGTGGAAGGAGATTTTTAGCTAATTGGATTCGCAAAGTAAACAATACAGAAAGTTGTGAATATTGAAAAATGGGTTCTGTATCTACATTGTAGAAAAAGCGAATAAGTCGTATGGAGATAGAGCAACTTTGTATACAAGAGATTCTAAACGAAATTTCAAAAACGATCATTTGACCGTGCCGTGGTAGGTTTAGTGTTAATCGAGTCTCGAGCAAAGAGGGAAGAAGAATTTTCGTTCGGTTTGTAGATGTGCGTGAATCAGAAGTGTATGCCGGTGGCCGATCTGCGCGCTTCCGTGTCCGGAGGGAAAGCCTGTCCGAATAATTGCGGGGGCAACGGAGTGTGCAATAGCCTCGGCCATTGTCACTGCAATCGCGGCTTCCGGCCACCCGATTGCACCCAGCCTGGCGTGGGCGGATCCGAGGACAGTGGCCCCGCCGAGGATCCGAACGGTGAATTAATTTCATTCCGTTTCTCATATCCGAACACGGATATTATTATCATTAATATTATTATTATTATTATTATTATTATTATGCGAAACTAATTTCCGCCTTGCACGGGCTCGATGATTATCTGTTTCAGCGAGGAACGATTTCATAATGGCGTTGTACATTATCTTTTTGGGGATCGTGCCCACGATCGCTCTGTCCTTGTTCGGGATCTGGTACGTGAGAAATTCGGGGCAGAACTGGAAGAAGAGCATGATGTCATCAACGTACGTATCTAGCCACGAGCGTGTTAGAGAGAGATGCAACAAGCCGCATGGCTTCGCGCGCGGTGCTCGCGGATCTAAGATCTCGAGCCACAACATCTCGCTCGGTAAAAACTTTTACGAGAGGTTCGTCATCTTTTTCTCCCCTGGCCGGGACGATTCGCGGGCCGCGAACAAAATATTCACGGTCAGCGAGAGTATGGCGAGGCAGAAGCTTCAAATAACGAAAACCGATCTGATCTCGACCACTAACCCGGACGTTATTAACTGTAGCGACAGTATCGATAGGCGATCGATGGCCGGCAATAACACGAGCGAGAAGAGGTGTCGCGTGGTCGCCTCTGATCGATCGGTCGAGTCGGTAGAGCCGCAAGCGAGAAGGAATTCTTCCCATAGGTCGGAGCTGGGTTCGAAGATAGCCGAGCGTATACAACAGATGCAGAAAAAGCCGAGCAAGAATATCAAGGGGTTGACGCTTAAAACGGAAGTAAAGTTCGAGCATTTGAGCGAAAGCCCGGGCGGCAGCGGTGCTGTTGGCAGCGCCGCGCCGAGGACAGGCGATCCCCTGTTGCCACATTGCAGGCCGTACTCGAACGCGCCTGCACCGTTTTACAACAAAAAACCACCACCTCCGCCGGCTTCGGCTCAACATTTAAAGCCAAAGATTTGATTTCGCGCTTTATTTATCTTTTCGTTATATCTCGTCAATTCTTCTTTCTCTCTCTCTCTCTTTCTCTTCTTTATCCACTTTCCAACTCGAAACATTCCTTTTTAGTGCGAAGGTCGCAGCAGAGAGAAGCCTGAACATATTTTCTCAAGGAAGCTATGACCTTTGCATTACTTAACCTAAACTAGGTAGGGTTGGCAATAAACGGTGACGGTTTCCAATTCAATCCCTACGCTGTGATCTTCGCGTTGTGTAACAGTCGAGATATAAATGTAGGCAAGATGTAGAGAGGATAATGGGGGTAACGCGATGACAATCGACGCAATTTTGCCGTTGCGTGAAGAGAAATCGGGATCTACGAGCACCGCGCAGCAATAATCCGCGTGAGAAAAATATCCTGTAGATAGTGCACGTTTCTTTATAACGATATATATTTTTACAAATTTATAATCGAACGGAAATTTCTTCAATCCTTTCTCTATGCTACGACGCAACGTAAATATCGATGCGAATATATTTCGCGATATAAGTGATAATATATTTATTCGTTTACTATTTCATGCTCAAAAAAATAATAAATAAATAAATATATATATATATATAATATATGACGTAATATAGTTTTAGGCTGTTGAATGTAAATGATTTTTAACGAATGCAGATTACGTCATGTGATAGTATTAAAACCAAAAAAAAAAAAAAAAAGAAAAAGAAATGGGTGATAATATAGAACGAAAATGACTGTCCACTAACGCGATGAATAAGAAGCTCTCGTTGGTTCGCGCTCGATGATGTGTTTGACGAGAGGCGGAACGAGAAAAGGCACGTTTCGGAGGAAAGTTGAGAATCGTAACACGGAGCATGCATAGAAAATTAATGTGACACGGGCATGAGCATGTGTGAGATTTCTTTTGAGATGGCTTCTGCATTTTAAAATTACTCAACGTCTCGCATTTATTATTTCGAGTCGATATTTATTAAAGTCAGTATTAACAAGATACGTTCAACAAATCGACTTCGATCACTTTTTTAAGCGAGCAAATTCGTTCGAATTTTACTCGGATATATATATACACACACACACGCACACACACACGCACACGCACACACACACACACACAATACGCGCGCGTATATATATTCGAGATAATACTCCATATCGAAATTGCTCAATTGAACAAATCAATATGTATAAGTTTATTTGAATAAACGTACAGTGTTTGATACAAAGCCTATACAATTTTCTTGTGTAATTGTGAAAAACTTCATCCCTCATCCATAGAGAGAGCTTGCCACTAACATTTTTAATCTTCGACTAACGTTCCCAAATGCATCTCGTTTCTCGCGCTCGCATGCACGTACGAGAAAAATATACGCGAACGCGATTCCTTTTTTCTTTTTTTTTTTTTTCTTCTCCGAGTTCGCGCGGAAAAAGAAACCTTGTTGCATGCCGAACAATTTCGCAATCGAGGATGATGAACAATCTCTCTAATCATTATCCTCGATTCGATCGGTGTATAACAACAGCTTTGCGTCGCTTTCGACACCTCGATTCCCCCTTGGCTTACGACTGTGCTTAAAATTTTCAGGACCGATCGTGGCCACAACGGACTGTCCATCAAAACGATCGATCGTTCCAGTCCCTTGCCTCGTAGCATCGAAACGATCGATTCTAGTCTGAGTCAGGATCCAGCGTGCGCGAGTTTGTTGCCGAAACCGGATACCGACGAGCGTTACAACAATAATTTGTTCGGCCAGTTCAAAGGTTTCACGATCACCCCGATCAGGAGCCAAGCGAAGAGCCTCGAGCCGACCAAGCCTGCGCCACCTCCGCCCACCATCCCGACCGTAGCCATTAAGACTAACATCAAGCCGATCCCGAGGAGCAATAATCGCGCGTCCACCTGCATCCTCGATCCACCCACGACCAGCTTCGACGAAGCGCCGCCGCCGCCCACCCTCCCACCCTTGAATCCAGGATGCACGGCACGGCCGTTGATCAGCAGCCCGGTGCTGGCCGCGACCACGTGCACCTCCGTCGAGCTGGTCGCCCCCAAACTCCCAGCTGTGGAAGGGCCGACCAGGCCCGCTCCAGCTCCGCCTGTCCTCTCCACCTCGGACTCCGTTCAAAAGCCTCAGAGGCCGAGCAGCACGCCCCTCGCCAACGTGCTGGAGGGCGAGAGGAGGCAGGAGAAGGGGAGCAGCACCCTGAACAGGATCGCGTCCATCCTTCGCCCCAACTCGGGGATCGTGAGAGGAGGAGGCGGGTTGCAAACGGAGAGGAGCGCGACCAACTCTCTGCCCAGGTTGCACCACCACAAGGCGAGCAAAGTGATGGACAAGGAGATACTGAGAAGCTTGGAGATCTCGAATCCCATACCGCAGAAGGAGATCGAGATCCCGACCCCCTCGATACCCGTGATCCCGGTCGACGAGCAGAGGAGGGGCAGCAGCGGCGGCAGCAACGTGGTGGTGTTGCGCGCCCAGTCGATGAGGGACGGGAAGATCGCGCGGCCCGCCATCCAAACGTTCGGCTCGATGCGGCAGGCGGCCGTGAAACGGCCGACCAGTATACCGGCCAGCGCCAGGCCCACCGCGCCACCCCCTGGCCCCCCCGTCCTCCCCTCGGCCGAGAAGGCGACGAGCGAGGCGAAGATCCCCGGATTGCCAGGCTACCAGAATCCTCGGGCGCAGAGAGGTGGGCAGCAGAGAGCGGCGACCGACAACGCGTACGACGATTGCATGAATCTCGTCCCCGACGCGTCCTCCTCCTCGTCCTCGTCGTTGGCCAAGATAGCCGAGGAATCGGCCGCGCCAGGCGACAATATTTACGCCGTGATAGAGGAGGCCCTCCCCGAGAAGGGGAGGAAGGGGGAGAAGCAAGGGGAGAACGAGTACAAATTGCCTAAGCGGGTGGAGAATTCGTCGTCGAACGTTGGAGTGGAATCGATGGGTTTGCTGTCGGAGATCGTTTCCGAGATATCGAATCGGAACTTCGACTCGATATACTCGACCGCCACTTTGTCGAGGAAAACAGGGGAGGAGGGGGTGGGGGGAGGGGGAGGGGGAGGGGGGTCGCCGAGGGGGAGGAGGGTCGAGGGGGAGGAGGGGGGAGGAGGAGGGGGGGAGGATACAACAACAGCGGCCCGTTCGCCGGTTACACGAATGGCTCGGTTCATTACAAGTCGCCGGCAGGCAGCAGCATATACTCGAACTCGGCCTCGGCCAAGTTCAACTCGTCGAGCTCGACGACCAGCTCCGGTTACCTGAACCCGTCCGCTTTGAACGTGCCGCAACAGGCCGAGGACGAGGGGAAAGGCTCGAGGATGGTGAACGATTCGAAGCTGAGCGACGAGATGTCGAGGGAGCTTGGAACGAAGGTTGGCGAGGACCGCAAGTCGATCGCCAGGGCTCGATTCAATTCGCGAGGCGTTTCGAGGGGGGGCGAGGAGGAGGCGAAAGCGTGTAACAGGTCTAAACAGTATTCTGACAGTGGTTCGAAGCAGCAAGGGTCGGTGGACGACGGGGGCGAGAAGGATTCGCGCGCGAGTGTTAATAGTAGATTATCTCTGAAAACTGTGCCTTGTAGTAGCCCTAAGGATAACGAAGGGGGAAAGTTCGTAAACAGCCCCGACCTGGTCTCCAGCTGTTCGAATTCTTCGAGTCAAATCGGTACGAAGTCGCCCGACGTAGTTGGAAACAATCCCAAGATCAGCCCGAAGAACGCCGTTCAAAAAACGCCCACCCTCGCGCGGGGCGGTGGCGCCAAAGCGCCCGCCACCCCTGCCAAACCGTTGAACATCGCGCCGAAAGGGGCCGGCCTCGCCGAGAGGAAGAAATCCTCCCCGAGCGGAGGAGGAGGTGGCAACGTGAACGCGATTAAATCGTCGTTTTCGGTGGCAGCGAGGGAATCGGCTTCGAAAATCTCGCAGGCGAAAGCGCAGGGGGGGCAGAGGGCCGAGGCGAAAGGGGATTCGGGGGCGAAAGCGAATCCGGTGCAAAGGGCGGCGAGCAGCAAGTCGAACGTGGCCTCCCTTCAACAAAAGTTCGAGGCGAACAGAAACGTAAACGCGTCACGGACGATACCGGGTGTGCACAAAGCGCAGCGTACGGTCGGTAAAACCGTTGAAACGGCGAGTGTGAAGAAATAGAGCGGGTGGGCGTGAGGGAGGGGGGGACATGCGTTGTAGGATCTATTTCAAATATTCTAGTCTGTCGATCATATTCGGAACGAAGCGCGTAAACGCGAGATATATTTCCGTTCGAACGATATTTCTACGATGTTATTTTATTTAAAAAAAGAGGAAAAAAAAAAAGAAAAGAAAGAAAAGACCAGCCACGGAAGGAAATGGAGTCGTAATAGTACAATGATCGATCGTTAGCTCGGCGAAGCCGGGCGAAAGAACCGATAGATCGGAAATCGGAAGCAAACTGTCAGAATACTGAGATTAGGTTGTATCGGGCGCGATATATTATCGTTGTAAATATAATAGTTACTTAAAAATTCTAATATTTTTTGTAGAGATTCGTATCCGTTAACGTTCGGATGTAACACGCGAAATAATTAACGATCGTCGGGGATATTTATCTTAAGAGCATTTTGTAAACGAGATAAGAAACAGAAGTAAGCAACAATTATTTTCAAAAGTTTCACTCGATACCGCAAAAGGAACGCGAAAGAAATTATTGAATTCTGTGATAATACATGTAACGAGAGAATAATACAGAGAAACATCGTATCGTACATTATTATAAGTAGCAGATTGTAGATGCGACCAAATCTATCATTTTATATATCGTATCACGCGAAAAAAGGAAAAAAAAAAAAAAAAAACCAATTACGAAACCGAAGAAGATAAATTAAATTTTCAAAGGGGAGAAATTAGTTTCGAAAGGAATCCATATCCCAAAAAAAAAAAAAAAAAAAGAAAAGAAAAGAAAATCTCTATGAAACGGTAGCTCTTTCCAAAGATTAACTAAGCATCGTCGTTAAAACATCGTGATTTTCGTGAATGCGATCGTACCTTTGAGATTCCTCTGCGAATCAAAATTTAGACGCGATTAGCTAACGATAAGAGAGCTTAAATGGTAGTGTATGCTAGACTTTTATGCTACGTTTGAAATCGAGGCAGAATTATTTCTACGATAAACGTATGCTAACGTATAACGAAGTAGAAATATTTTTGTTTAAAACGCTATACGATCGTCCTTTTATTTTCGCACGATTCTTTGCGATTTACAATAAAAATACGAATTTCGAACCTTGGTGTTCGTTTGCTAAATATTCAGCATCGCATTAGATACGCAAAGAGACTAAGACGAATATTTATTTGACTGATCGATGTAAATATGTTTATAATGTAATAGATGTAAGTAACATTTTGTACAATGTACCTTCGTGCTCGCTAAGTTATAATTCGCGATATACCTTTGAAACGCATACATGCGACTTCAGCATTTAGCTTTTTCACGATATCTCGTTCGATCTGTTGTAAAGGGTGTAAAAAGTAAAAATTCACCTGAATTAAAGGAGAAAAAAGAAAAGACGAAAAAAAAATGGGTTTTATTGAACGATACAGTTGTAACGTATTTTTGCATTTATTATTTCAACATAGCCATCTTTCGCGTATAAGTATTGTTCTCGCTTGTACGTCGCGATGTTTTAATTTATACAGTTCCTATGTACAGTCGTCTTGATATGTTGAAACAATTTAGGGACCGCAACTCAAGTTCAATAAAGCTTTGTAATAATCATCCATTCTTCGAGCATCGTTTATAATCATTCACCGCTTTTCTTCTTTCGACGAAATGATGTCGTATGTATGACTCTAGTGTAAAGACAATCAAACGTTTTGCACAGCATACGACTGTAAAACGGGAAGTGACGCCCTTCGAGAAAACCTTGGCCGTTTCATAACCGTTTTAGTAAGATTTCTTTTTTTTTTTAGGAAATTTCGGTTCGATTTTAGATTTCATCGATTAGATTACAATTAGATTTGTTAAATGTGAAATTGTTTTTCAAAACTCACGACTTATAGCCTTATATAGGATTAACAAACATTGTTACATTGTCCGTTCAATACCAAAGATAAGTTACGTTTCACGTGTTAAAGGGCCAAGATATATCGTTATCGTAACTACTTAAACGTTGTCTCATAACTTGTATATTTCCTAATGCATAGTAAAGTTACAATAAATTCTTTATTCCACGCATCCGTTTTATCCTTCATTAATGACGGATCAATGAAGAGGTAAGTAGATGATTAAATTATAATAATGAAATTTCATAATTTTGTAAATTATTCTTAAAAGTAATGATAGTAAGATAGAGTATAAAATTTTCAATAAAAAAAAATATATCGTTTATTTGATTCATAAAAAAAAAGGATCGTACGATACAATTTATTTATCTCTAATACCGAGCACAAAAGTAATACGTTTTCTGTTATGAATGAAAAAAAAAGAATTTAAATCTTTACGAATTACGAATTACGAATAAAAAATAAAGATGTTAATAATTATATTTTGTAATAAATCTTTTTTATTTTATTTGCGTTAAGCAAACAATTTATAGAAAAAAAAAACAAGTAAATAATTTAAACTAAAATATTTTGAGTGGAAGACGTTTTCTCCTCGTGTCATTTCCCTCCAATAGGATTTCATTGAGCGGACCGTAGCCTATAAAGAACGAATTTACTAATACGTTTATAATATTGTAAACATTATTGTGAAACAATTACAAGTATACCATTTACTTTTATGTTATGCACATTCATGCGAAAATTTAATTTTAGAAAGCAAGATTTATGTTTTATTAAAAGAAATTTCTATATTTAACGATCATAATGAAATATTCGATTTTCATGATCGTAAATTTACAAGTCACATAAGTGTTGAATTACGCGTTTATTGATCGCTGTCAGTGACAATAATGTAAGAAACTTGTGAATGCCTCGTTGCCAAATGTTGCTGAACTACCCCAAACACTATGTATTTTCCTATATTAGAGTACGCTGTTGTGATTTGTCAAAGAAGCGATAACCTAACAGCTATATTGAATATTAGAAAAAATTTCGCATAAAATTTCTCACATGAAATTGTAAGAACTGTTGATATTCAATAATTTGTTTAAAGTTTTTCGTTTTTATTATAAAATAAAGTTTACGCAAATTTCGCGTAATGTTATAATTCAAATTTTTGTAGAATCGTTACACGACAAAAAATTAATCGTGCTTATTAGAATTTTATATTTTTATATGGTGAAAATGGCCCATGCTCCATTACCGAAACCTATTTGTAAACCGATAAATACGTCTAAGATGTGTCCATCTGATTTCACTACTACTTTATCTGATGTAAGTTTGACATTTACGATATTTATGCATTTTATTACTTTATTGCATTTTATTTTATTATAGGTGTTACAATCGGACCCAGTAAAAAGGTTGTTTAATCAACCAAATATTATTATTAAAACAATACCTTTAAAAATAAATACAAATTCTGGGTCAAATAATAATGGTTTCATGAACAAAATACATAATACGGATACAAATATAAATAGACCAAAGCAATCGGAATTATCTGTAATTCCTCTACAGACGAATCAAGAAGAAAATATAGAAGATAAAAATTTATTGCCTGCTAAGAAACAAGGTAAATCAGAAATCACGTTAGTTCCTGTTAAAAGGGAAAAGAAACCCTGTGGTCATTATGAACCTTGTGAAAATATTGTATGTGATGTGGCAGTACAACAATATGTAGATCGTGAAGGATCTTCACCCATGTTAGCTATTAATATAGAGGAAAGTGAAATAAATGCACCTGTTTCAAAACATTGTGCGAGTAAAATGTGTGATGCACTAAGTATCGATCATGATCGTTGTCGCAGAGCTGTGATAAGATTGAATAGGTGTAATCAGTCAACAGCTTGTGATATTTGTGGTATTACGCTAAAAACACAAAGATCTCGTATATATCATAAGAATTGTACAAGAAGAAATGAATATAGACATAATGAAACAAGTAGTGCTAAAATATTAAAAGAAAGAATGAGACAACGAGAAATTCAATTAATAGAAGCTTCTAAAATGAAAAAAAATGATTATACAGATCCAGTTATGGGATATAGTCTTGCAATGGAAACATTGAGAAACAACAAAGAATTGATTATTATTCCAAAATCAGTTCCCATAAAACAGCAACAACAACAACCACAATCACAATCACAACCACAATCACAACCACCATCAACACCAACAATTACTATAAGTACTACACAATCTTCTTTACAAATCAATAATATAAATAATGTTTTTGGAAAACTTTTACCTAGTATGCCAATTGTATTACCACAACAAAGTATAGTTCTTGGCAAAGCAGAATCTTCTAATGAAAATAATATAACTACTCCCATACAAATAGCTTTACCAGATACTTTAACTACATCGCTTATAACAACAACTAGTACAGTTCCTTTATCTCAAAATCATTATGTTACATTTACAACACAAACTAATACACATTCAATACCAATAAGTGATATAATCTTGCCACAGTCGCAAATTGTGACAACACCCATTCAACCTAAACCACTGTTAACACCTATACGTGTAGTGCCTATAACTAATTTAATAACACAACCATCTTTATTACACCAAACACAGGGTATACCAAAGTTTTGTATTATGCCAGACAATACAATACCATCATTAACTATAACAAATCCACAATCTATTCAATGTCCAGCACCTGTGCCAAAGGTTGAGTCTTCAAATGATGTGAAAACAACTTCACAAAAAAAAAAAAAACAATGGTGAAAAAAAAACGAAAGCTTAGAAAAAAAGATTTTAAATGTGATTATTGTCTTAAAAATTTCAGTACAGATTGGTATTTTAAAATGCATGTTGCTATGCATACAGGTGAAAAACGATTTATCTGTAAAATATGTACACAATCATTTAATAATCGATATGACATGAAAAGACATATGTCAAATGATCATAACAGTGAAAGTATTGCTTCTGATATATGTGCTCAGGAAGATTCTAATGAAGATTCACGTAAGTGTTTTGATTGTAATATCATATATTTCTCTATTAATCATTTAAGGCATTATAAATAAAAAATATAAAAATATTCAAATGGATATGGTAAAAATTTCTTCTGATGTTATAGAGCCAAAAATGAACAATCTAGATTCACATCAAGAAGTAAAAAAAGAGGATAAAACAAATGGATATATTAGCATGCCTACTCAAGACATTATCAAAAATATGAAAACAGAACTGTGTCATGAAGTATAAATCATTCCAATTTAAATAATTCACTAAAATTGATAAAACAAATAATATTTAAAATTGAAAAAAAATATATCTGTTATAAATCTTGAAGTTCACTTGTAAAAATATGTGTAAAATGTGCTTAAACACTACATTTAATCAAATATTGATTTTTTGGTAGCAAATTTTATATTTAATTACAAAAGTTCGAGTATATTGATATTTTTTCAATTAATCATCAATTATATCTTATCTTTTATTTTAATTTCAATAAAATTAAAATGATTATTTTAATTTTTAACAAAATTTCAATAAAATTGAAATAATTTCAATAAAATTTCGATAAAATTAAAATAATTATTGTAATATTATAAATCCTATGGTATAATATAAATGATAAATCTTTCTACTATATTTACTTTATTTAGAAAATATATAAAAAAAAATATTTTTATCATTATTATACAGATATGTATTATAAAACTGAAAAAAATTTATTTTTTAAATAAGAACTACTACAAGAATTGATAAACATAAAAAATTTAGATATAATTGTATATTATTAAATTCTAAACTGTGATATATGGCCATCTTTCCGCTATAACTTTTTTCATGTAATGTAAAAGTTTGCCGTTTTTAACATAAATTTAAGCACATTAAAAAATTTTTATATATTAAAATGAAATCACAATTATGCACGTGGACGAAAATATGATTACACATATCTTAAAATGCACAAAAAAATAATTCAAAAGGGAAATCGTATGATTTATATTTTAGAATCAGAAAATTTGTTATTAAATGTAAGAGTATTTTATACGGAAAAGAAGTTAAATGCCATTATTCTTATGTATAAATATATATAAGTTATATTGTGTTCCTTTTATTTTTAATTTAGTAGTTGTTTACTTAAAAGTATTCATTCACATAGGCTAAAATTAATGTAGAATACATATATTTATACACATTTTATTATTGAATAATTTTTTTTTTTTCAAAAAAAATCTATAATATATTGTTTAAAAAATTCATTTTTTAGAAATAATATTAAATGCATAAGTACTTTCTTGTTTGATGAATTTAGTATGTAAGATGATAAAAAGCTAATTTGAGCTTTGAAATTTATTTTAATATATTTCTGAATATTAATAAAAATATAGATTAAAAATTTTGCAAAAATATAAAGTTCCTTAATCAGGAAAATGAATATCATGTGCCTTCAAAATTTTAATGTTCCTTATATAAATAAATACAGTTAACTCATAAAAATCAATATGGATAATATTGATTAATAAATTTGTTTCATTATTTTAAACTGACAATAAAAAATATTAACAATTTTAATGCAATTATATAATGAATAAGATACTTTTATTTAAAAATAAGATTATAAATGAAAATTATCTGTGCATTTAATATTACTGATTCTCGGTGCACAAAAGATATGATAAAAAATAGAAGGAAATTTTGGAAATATCATTTGTGTGAAAATATATTTGTAATAGAGAATATTGAAAAAGTTATTTTTGAAATAAAAATTAAAATGCTATGTTAAATATAATATATCTTGAAAAAAATATATCATAAAAAACTATTTGTTGTATTGTATTACATAAAAGGTTTTAAAAATAAATCATTATTTAATATCAAAATTATTTATTCAAAATAGTTTTCTTTTTAAACAAAAAATATTAATCATGAATATATTTTATGAATGTTGAATATGTTGAATAATGTTAACATTACATATGAAATTAATCAATTATTTCTTTAGGAATATAAGTTACATCTCTGTTTTATGTTGTATTTTTATTTTGATTCATATCCTGTCTAAAGCCTCTAACATTATTACACTATTTCCACGTATTACCTACAATATAATAAAATGTATTTATTAAATCAACAGAAATTTAATTCTTTTTATTAAA